TTTGCTTCAATTTGGAACAATTAGAACAATTCCTTTCTTTAACTTTCATGACCTTAATACATTTAAATTTCTAAATGGGCCAAATTCAGCCTGCTCACCTGTCTTTGGAATAAAATTTGACCAGAGCCCAACCCTGTCTATTCATTTACATATTGTCTGCGACTACCTTTGTGCTACGGCAGCCATTGAGTAGTGGTGACACTGTATGGCCTGAAAAACCTAAAATGTTTAGTGTTGGGACCTTCACTGAAGGACCCAAGGAAGAGAAATGAAAAGCTTACATATTGGAGAGGAAGAAGACTGGTTTTAATTTATTTGATTGCTTACATCCAAAGTCCTAAGGAATCTATAAAATAACTTCTAGAACTAGTAAGAGAATTCAGCCAAGTTGCAGGATATCAAGTCAGTATTTAAAAATCTATTTTATTTTCATATATCAGCAATAAACTTTGGAAAACATTTTTTTAAGAAAACATTAAAATGGCATCAAAAACAAAACTTATTTAGAAATAAATGAATAAAAGATGTGCAGTACTGCTATGGTGAAAATGAAAGAATGTTCCTAAAAAAATTTTTTTTAAAGATATAAGTAGAAAGATTTACCACGTTCACCTATTGATCAAAATTGATAAAATGTCAAATTCTCTCAAATTGATTATAGATTCAATACCATCCTAGTGAAAATCTCAACAGGAAATATTTATTTTTAAAATTGTCAAGCTGATTCTAAAACTTGTATGAAAATGCCAAGGACCTAGGTTAGCCAAAACCATACTGAAAATGAAAATGAAAAACCAAGTTAGATGATTTACACCACATGATTTTAGGCGGTCCTTGGAAACCAGCCTCCCGAAGACCCCCAGTTCCTGATGTTCATGTCCTTATGCAGTCCCCCTCCCACACTGCATCAGGGTTGGTCTGTGTGACCAACGGATTGTGGCAGAGGGGAGGTGTGTAATTTCCAGATTAAGTTACAGAAGACATTACTGTCCTCATCTTGAGCCCTCTGTTTGTCTCTCTTGCTCTTTCTCTGAGTTCCTGTTCAGAAGAAGGCCAGATTCTTTGTCATGAACAGTCCTATGAAAAAGGCCACATGATAAGCAGCAAAAGTCCTTGACCAACAGCCAGCAGGGAACAGAGGCCTCTCCCAACAGCTACACAAGTGAGCTTGGAAGACTCTCCTGTGCCAATCCAGCCGTTAGGTGACTGCAACCTGGCCAATAGCATAGCTGCAACCTCATGATGGACTCTGAGACATAACCTCCCAGCTTAGCAGCTCTCGGATCCCTGACCCTCAGAAATAGATACGGATGGTGTGCTGTGGATAAGTGTTCGTTGTGTTGCACTGCTCAATCTTGGGTAATTTGCTATGCAGCAATAGATAATAAATATAAAGACTTAGATTTTAACCTGCATTATTTATGACAGTGTGGCATTGATGTAAGAATTGACAGGCAGATCAGTGAAACACAATGAAGTCCTGAAATAGACCCCACATATATGCTTATTTGGGTTTGACTAAAGCAGAAAAATAATTCAATGAGGAAAGGATAGTCTTTTCAAGAAAAAAATTAGAGGTTCTAGAAGACCCCTTATCATACTATACACCAGAAGCAACTGAAGACAAAACATTGAGAATTTCTTGCAACACTGCAACAGGTAAAGATTTCTTAGACTGACACTAAAGGCACTGTAGTTAATTTTGTGTTAACTTGACTGGACTATGGGGTGCTTATATTTGATATATTTCCTATTGGTTTTGTTTTTCTTGAGAATCCTCAGTAATACGGGCACTAATTATAAAAGAAAATAAAACTGCCATACTGGATATTATCAAAATTAAAAACTTCTATTCATCAAAAATATCATTAAGACAGTGAGAAATAATTCTCAGTACATTTACTTAACAAGGGATTTTTATCTAAAATATACACCAAATTTTAACACCTTAGTGAAAAAGACAAAGCAATTATTAAAAATCAGGTAAAAGACTGAGCAGACATTTCCTAAGAAGATAGATAAGGTGTCAGAAGCAATATGAAATAATGCTCAGTGTAATTACTCATCATGCATATACAAATTAGAGCCACAATCAGAAATCATTTCACACTGCTTAAAATGGCTAAAAGTATAAAAAATATAGCCAAACCTTGGAAAGGCTGTGGAACAATTGGAATCTTCATACATTATTGCTGGGAGCATGAAACAACCTCTTGGGCAAAAGTTCTGGTGGTTCCTTATAAAACTCAACATATACCTCATGATGATCCATCAGTTTACCTAGGTATTTACCCAAGAGAGATAGAAGACATATGTCCACAAAAAGACTTGCGCAAGAATGTTTCTAACAATTTTGTCATAATAGCCAGAAGCTAGATTCAAGCCAAATGCTCATTTAATAATTGAATGGACAAGCAAATTGCAGTATATTCATGTGTGGGAATACTACTCAGCAATAAAAAGAAATGCACTGCTGATATATGCAACAAAATAGACGAAAAGAATGTTGCACCAAAAAAGCCAGAAAGGGTGCCTCATACTAGTATGAGATGTTACCTGTTAGAATGGCTATTATGGAAAGACAAATGGGAGCAAATGTGGGCAAGGATGTGGAGTGAAGGGAACTCATGTACGATGCTGATGGGATTGTAAATTGGTAAGCCATCATGGAAAACACTATGGAGGTGTCTTAAAAAATTAGAAATAGAACTAAATGCACAAGCCAGCAATCCCATTTCTCGGTGTGTATCCAAAGGAAATTAAATCAGTGTCTACATACAATGTTCATTAAAACTTTATTCACAATCGCCTAGGTATGCAAACAACCTAAACATCTGGTTAAAGAAAATGTGTGTGTGTGTGTGTGTGTGTGTGATTTAACAATGGAATAAGTGCTCAGAGATGTGTTGTTACTTGATTTCATTGTTGTATAAATCATAAAGTATACATATACACACTAAGATGGCTATGATGTCACTAGGTGATATAATTTTATGAGACCCCTGTGTATATGCACCATTGACCAAAATGTCATTATGTGTTTTATGATTTTGTGTGTGTGTGTGTGTGTGTGTGTAGGGGAGGGGGTGGAAGAGAGAGAGATGGAATACTATTAAACCTTAGAAAGAGTCAGGGGGGTAAAAAATAAAAGCCTGCCATTTGGGACAACTTGGATAAACCTGGAAAAGGTTGTTAGAGGGCAAAGAGAGAGTAGAAAAGAGAGCCATTCAAATGGAAAGGAAACAGAAATGAAAGGGAAAGTTAAATATTCACTTTCTATTGAATCTTTTTTTTTTTTTTTTGCAGGGGTGCACTGGGGATTGAACTCAGGGGCACTCAACTACTGATTCACATTTCGAGCTATATTTCATATTTTATTTAGAGATAGGATCTCACTGAGTTGCTTAGTGCCTTGCCGAGCCTGGCTTTGAACTTGTGATCCTCCTGTTTCAGCCTCCTGTGCCACTGGGATTAAGGCTTGAGCCACCGTGCCCAGCTTTATTGGATCTTTACACTCTTTTGGACATGCTGTCCTTTTCCATATGTCTTCTCCTTAAAAGGAGATTTCTCTGCAAGGATGGTGAAGTGTCTTAGAAGTCTGCATTTCCCAAACCTTCCAGCACTATTTTATGCAGACTTGATTTGGTAAATATTAGAGAAAGAGAAATTAAGAGAGCTGTGATTTAAAATATTTTCAGTGGGCTTTCTACATCTTTTCTGGGATAGCTGATTGCAAGTTTCACAAGAGCCTAGCACAGTGTCAATAATGCCACAATAAACATTCATTGATTAACTGAAGTGTACACTACAGAGAAAAATAAATGCGGTCCTCTCAAAGCCCTATTGTCTGGCCCCCACCTTACCTCCAAGCAGTAGAAATGTTTAAATATGCTTTTTGTTGTTTTATAGCCATTTGCATTTAAATTGGGTGTGTCACTGTCACGTTTTATTAGCTATTCCTCATACCAGTCCTGTGAGGTTAGCGCTGTTATCTGCATTTTACAGGCGAGGGCACTGAGAGGTGAAGCAACTTGCCTGGGATCAGATGGTACAATGAGCCCCTGGAAGCAGTGGATTTTGGTGCACAGGACCCGCCTCCCAGCCAGCAAGGCTAGTCCATAAAACTCTGTGGCTGGGAACACAATAAAGAACTGTGGCTTTTCTGCAGTAGACTTCAAAAGTCATTTTAATTGCATTAATTCATATGAAAGAATTGAGTTAGGATTGCATTTCTTTGGATGGATTATTTTCTTGTGAGCAGATAGTTTGTTGTTGTTGTTGTTGTTGTTTTAGTAGGTACTTGATTGGGCTGCCTAGACCCAAGATCCTTGAAGGAAGACGCTCGCTCCAGAGATTCATCCCCATTATTTCCTGACCAGACACTGGGCCTCCCAGAAGTGTCTCTCCTTGCAGCAGTCTCCCCACAGAGCCCAACCATGTAGCATAACCCCTAAGCAATATTTGAATTAGAGTAAATAAATTTTATGAAATAAGAAAGTATTTAGAACGTATCTAATTATAAAAATTTTAACATGGTCCAAGAACTTCCTAAAATTGAATGCACAGTAGTCTCCCCTTATCTGTGGGAGTTATGTTCCAAGATCCCCAGAGGATGCTTGAAACCACAAATAGTACCAAATCCTATATATACTATGTTTTTTTCCTGTACATAAATACCTTTGATAACATTTAGTTAATAAATGAAGCAAAGTAAGAGATTGATGATAAAAATTTATAATAAAATAGAACAATTATAACAATTCACTATAATAAAACTTATGTGAATGTGGTCTCTCGATCTTTAAAAAGGTTACTTGAACACAAGCACTGTGACACCACAATAGTGCATTGGAAAACTGAAATGGCTACTCAGTGACTATAGGGTGGGAAGCCTATAGAGCATGGAATGAATAAAGGGAAGATCCACGTCCCAGACGACGTGGAGCATGGCTACACCAGATTTTATCACCCGTCTTCACACTACTCAGAACCACACGGAATTTAAAATTGACAAATGGTTTATTTCTGGAATTTTTCATTTAATGTTTTGAACCACAGTTAGGCAGGGGTAATGGAAACCAAAGGACGCTAAACTTCAGATAAAGGGGACTGCTCTACAAACAGTGGGTGCAGATACACATGGCATTTTCTTCTCCTGAGAGGATCAAGATTGCAGGCAGTTCTCCTTAGAAGTGAGAGGTGAATTGGGAAATCGAAGCTCAGTGAACTTAAGGAGCTTCCTTATATGTCACACAGTAGAATCCCAGCTCTCCCTTATAATAGCAGGACCTTGACAATGATCTTTGTTCCTGGAACAAGCATTGGAAAAATGACATCCCCGGGTTCTTTAACTCATTGACTTCATCTAAGGAATTGGTTTCCCCCAAAATGGTATCTTTGATCAAAATAAAACCACCAGCCTGGCTTTTCCCTTGTCTGATACAATTGCACTCTGGAGGCTGGCGGACGTTCGACTCACAATGGAGCTCACACTCCTTGATGTCCTTTCCCTTCCTAGCAGTATTCCCAGCATTCCCAGTTCTGATAACTCTGCCCAATATGGTTAGCAATATTATTATTGCATCACTCACTAACTCCCTCTGTGACACTGGGTGATTTGATTAAGACAAGTGGTTTTCAACCTTGGCTGCACTTTAGATTCACCAAGGGAGCTTTTAAAAAGCCCCTCCCAGTGGCCCGGCCACACCCTGGACCAATTAAATCCAAATCTCTGGAGGAAGGACTCAGCGGAGAGCCAGTTTTTAAACCTCTTCAAGTGATTCCAGCATGCAGCCCAAACTGAGAACCACTGACAGAAATGAGAACAACAACAACAACAAAAAAATTCAAATTTCTTAGGCACTTATTATGTACCAGGTGTTTTACATGCGTTAGCTTATTTATTTCTCACTGACTCAGATAGGCTACTTAACTCCTCTAAAATCTCACAGCTGGAAAGTGGCAAAGTCCAGTTCGAAATCCCAGTCATTATAATTCCTGAGGCATGCTTTTATCACAGGAACAGATGGTTTACTGAAAACTGTCTGTATAACATAAATTTAGTGAACATTGAATATGGCACCTCCTGTTAAACACCTGGTACGTAGTAGGTGGGCCTGAAAAATCTCTGTCACCATCTTTCAACCCATCCACTTTTCTAGAATGTTCCTTCTGGCCCATGCAATGACACGACACACAAGACTTTAAGATCAGAGAACTTTGAATTAATCCCAGCAGCTCTGCAGTTTATACCACCTTTTGTATATACTAACCATGTTGTATCAGAATTTCATTATATGGGGATGTTCAGTTTTAGGGAATATATATTAATGAACCATATAACTGAAAATGTGACCTGCCTATTATATACATTTTATTGAAGCTTTTAGCTCAATATATTTTAATTTCCTATGGCTACTAATTTTCCCTCTTGTCATTATGGGATAAATAGAGGCTCCCCACTTAAATTGAGGGGAAAGTTGTCAGCTGCTATGCAGATGATGTAAGCAGCCCATCATCCACCCACTGTCTTCGCAGGACTACAGCAGGAAGCTGTGCCTAGCAGTTCTGACATTTACTCCCAATTCCAGTCTATTTGTGAGGGTCACAAATCATGTTTTCTGTTTTGTTTTGTTTTGTTTTTTTCTGAATTAGTGGCATCCGCCAAACTGGCATGGATAGAGCAGGGAAGTAGACAAGCTTCTTCCTCAGAGTGGGACTGATTTTGGCATCTGCCAAAGACAAAGGGATGATGACTTTGTCCAGAGTGGCTCTCTGGGCCGACTGGCATGGAAGTAATGACAGCCAACGTCCATAGCAGCCTTCTGAGCCAATATCATCCTAGATGTTCCACAGAGAGCGAGATGGGCTGTTTCATGCAGGGCTGTCTGGATTCAGAGTCTGGTCTCGATTCACAGAACCATCCCATTGGTCCTCAAAATCTGCTGTCTCCACACCTATAGATAAAAACAACCAAAGACCAAAAATACATATTTTTTAAAATTATGCATCTGCACTGAATACATACAGACTTTTTTCCTTGTTATTATTCCCTAAACAACATAGTAGAACAACTATTTACATAGCATTAGATATCATAAGTAATTTAGAGATGATTTGAAGTATATGGATATGTGCAGGTTATATGCAAATACTGCACCATTTTACATAAAGGACTTGAGCATCCTTGGATTTTGGAATCCATTGGGTCTTGAAACTAAGCCTCCGATGACACTAAGGGACAACTGTACTTTGGACCATCCCTCTAGTGGGTTGGGGGATTGCCACTGAGGAATTAAAGGGTCTTTGTCAACCTCAGAAAAAGGAAGGACCGAGACATATATGGCTGGGCCTCTCTGTGCCCTTCCTTTCTCCCTTATTCCTCCAAGTCACAGTTTCCCTCCAAATCCTCTGAGATGGAGGGCACCACAAGAGGACAGAGACAGTAGTATCTGAGGGAAGGAGAGCAACTAAACATCTATCTCTTCTCCCTTCATTCCTCCATTCATGAGCCCGGCATCGAGTGCTGGCTGTGTGTCCAGCATGGTTTTCAGTTCTTCCTACATATTAACTCAGAGAAGTTCAATCCCTTGTCCAAGATCCATTGCTTGAAACGGTGGAACTCAATGGGGACAAGATCAGAGAGTCTGGCTCCATAGTCCACAACATTAGAACTAGAAGGCTCTTCTGGAGAAACCTCATTAGGCTTTCATTTGTTTCCATCTGTCTTGGTCGGGATCCTTGTCTGAATGTCGCCCTCGTATCTTTTTCCTTCATGCTAAGGAGGGTACCACTAGCTACTATTTCAAAGCTGTAATATAAGGACAGTTTAAAACCATCAACTACTAATTCATATCTCCATAAACAACAGAGGCAATTCTAGGAGTGATGGGAGGGGATGGGGGCTCTGCTTAAACAGAGATGCAGGGGCTCTGTCCTTAAAACAGGGTTTTTGAAGATACCCGATTCTTAGACATTGAGCTGACCAAGAGGGGATAAGAAGACAACGGCTTCCCGCCAATGATAATCCCTTGGTGCTTCACCACCTATGATTGCCCCTTCACCCTGCCCATACCTCTGTAAATAGTGCCTTCCATGAATTCCCTTAAATAACCCCTCTAGAGTGCTATCTCTTAGCTCGTGGTTCCTGACTGATTCAGTTAGGACTTGGAGAACCTATATAACACCCCAAAAGGAAAGTATTTCTTTATTATTGTATCTGCTTTGGAGTTAGGCAGACCTAGTCATGAAGTCCAGTTCGATCCCTTTCTAGTTGTGTGCTCTTAAGCAAATTACTTAGCCTCTGAGCTATACTTTCTTCACTCATTAAATGAAAGACAGTGGCTGTTAGGATTAAAAGAAATAGGATTTCCCCCTCTGCCGCTTAATAAAGGCGTTGCTGATCCAAAAAATAAATAAATAAATAGCATAGGTAAGCTACCTAGCCCAGCGTTCGGGTACATATTAGTAATTAATAGAACTGGAAATGGCAAATGGGAAGATGTCAAATTCAATAATGCAATACAAATTCCATAATGAAATTATTAAATTGATTTAATCTACACATTGCCTTCTTAAAAAAAATTTTTTGTCATAGGTGGACACAATACTTTTATTTTGTTTATTTATTTTTATGTGGTGTTGAGGATCGAAGCCAGTGCCTCACACATGTGAGGCAAATGCTCTACCACTGAGCCACAACTCCAGCCCCTTTTGAGGCTGATATTTTTAAAAAGGTGATAAGTCCCAGTTGGACAATGATGATGTGAAGCAAGGCACACACTACAAGTGAACTATAAAACCTTTCCAAAGGGTCTTTTATCTATAGATCTGCATTCTCTTTGGCTCATCAGTTCACAGCAATTTTAGGAATTCATCTTAAGGAAATAATCAGACAAAGATGCGCCTTCAAACACGTTCATACTATCATTGTTTAGAGTATTTAAAATTGGAAATAACAAATATTTGACAATATAGAATTAAGGAAAGCTTGGAAAATCCATACAATAACAAGTGGATGAATACAGGTGATTTTTTAAAAAAAATGTCCATAACACATTGGGAAGTAAAATAAACAGTTACAAAACAGTGTTTCTACTCCATATTTTTTTAAAAACAATAAAGAAGAAAAATTGAAGGAATATATGTTGATATAGCCATTTTGGTTATTTCTGGAAGACAGGATCACAGTTAATGTCCTCTACTCACACACTTTGTATTTTCTAGTTTTCTACAATGAACATTTTATTGGCTGCAAACAACAAAAAAGAAAACCCTAGCAATTCAGCAGCCCCACAATGCCAGGACCCAGGTCTGAAATTTTCTTGACTTTTCCTTCGTGGACTTGAGGTGGCCCCTGTGTCCCAGTTGTCACATATGCATTCAAAGAGAGAAGAATGGGGACAGAAAGGACTACTCCAAGCAAAGGCAGGAGCTCCAGGGCAGAAGTAAGCCTGATGGGGGAGATTTGTGTCCCATGATCACTCTACCTGGAAGACAGAAGGGAGAAGGGGTCTGGGAAATGGGGTTGAGGAGCCACTTTGCAATCTCTGCCAAAATGGGTATTGCTTTTATAATAATAATTAAAACAAAATTAATTACTGAAAATTTAAAACAAATAGTTTCTTCTGTTCTTTATTCCTCTAACACTTCACTCCCTATAGTCACCCTTCCACCCTCTCAAGCTGCAACAGCCAACAAGTTCACAGTCACTGAGCCAATGGGGCCAGGAAGAGTCAAGAACCCCGAGGAGGAGAGGAGCTGCACCCTCCTGCTGGTGGAGCAGACTGGTGGGCAATGTGCCGAAGGACGAGGAAGTCCACTTGCTCATTCAGTGGACCTCACTGGGTCTCTCTGGTTTGAGGTTCAGGCTCTGAAAACTTATCAATGAAGAGTTTTGTAATGTCAATTATTCGAGCCCTGCTCTTGTTTTCTAGACTGTGGGGAACTGGCCCTGGAATTTCATCTGGCTTGCTTTGGTCTCAGTAACCCCTCACAAATAAACTGCATGCCCTGCAATCTAGGAACGCACTAGATTGCACGGGTTCAAATCCAGGCTGGCCACTTCCTTGATGTGTCCCTGCACCTGCTACTTAAGCTCTGAATTTCTGTTTCCTCCACTGCAAAATGGGAATGATAAGAGTCCACATTTCACAGGGTTGTTAGGAAAGATTAGATGAGTCAGTGTTTGTCAAGTGCTTAGAAGGTTCCTATCACATAGTAAATGTGATGTAAGTATTTGTTTTAAAAAATAAATAATTATGAGAAAGGCAGAAACAGCCTCATTTGTTCGAGATTTCATCTTACTTGACATAAAACTAAAAAAAAAAAAAGGCTGAATTTTCTTTTGTTCCCTGCTTGCTGTGCTACACGGTCCCTATAAGGTCCTTTCTTAGCATCTGGATGGCCATCTTAAGTGATAGTCTCTATTTTAAGGAAAAAGTTTTGCTTTCTCACCCAAGGACCTTTCTGAGAAAGGCTTTCCACTCCCTCATACCAACCCAACCCCTAACCACCCCCGCATTAAGATCTGCCTAGTTATGATTCCTAAGCCTGCCCCATAAAAGTCCTGTAACCCAAGCCTGTTTTGCCTCTATCCATCTACAGAGAGATGGCCTTTATTTGTCAGCCCTGACAAAGAAACTGTCTCCTAGGTATCTCTGCCTGGTCTCAGTCTTTCATTTCTCGCTTATCTGTCTCTTGTTCCTCACTTTCCCTTCAGTCCCGGTGACAGGAAAGAGAGTACATAGGAAGCTAAGAGCTGTAAATTAAGAGCTATAAGGCCCATACTGGGTGTTAGTGATTCCCCAATCTCCGCATATGTAGCAGATCACCTAAGATTTAGGAGGCAGGTGCTATCCCCACCCTCATTTTATAAATGGCAAAGATGGAAAAACCACAGATCAGAGGGTTGGAGTAATTTGACCACAATCACATGCCTACAGGTTCAACCCTGGTCTGCGTGACTCCAAAGCCCGCATACTCCATATTAAGAGTGATCTTCGCCAGAGAGACTTTCCTCTACTTGATCCTGAAAGGTTAACATATATATCTATATCAATCCTTAAAGATGCTTAAGGGGCTTTTACTTAAAAGGCTCTAGTAACAAATCATTCTATAGAATGCCGTATTTCTCTATATTTAGTTTGGCACATTCGAATTTTCACATATGGTGTTTTCTAACAATATGGTGCATTTCTATTGTTCAAAAAAATAAGTTCCAGGTCAGGCACTTACCTAAAATTCTGGGTGTTTGTGGTATTTTCTCTCTTATGGGATTTGGAAACCTTTCTCTGAAGCTCAAGTAGTCCTTACTAGCAATAGATGAGGGTTTTTGTCACAGTCCTGGGCATATTGCCTTGAAGCAGAAGCCTGGCTTAGGCCAGCTGAAATCATCAATAATTAACATCATAGATGTCTCTCAGGTCCAAATTCCTCCCTGATCAGCAGCAGAATTCCTTTCTGCTCTCTGATCTGTCATTGCCACCTTTTCACAGTGCCAGTTCCAAAGACAGAACCGACTGTTACCCAACGTTTTTATTAACAACTGCACTCAATGCTCAAGCAAATGACACGTGTTCAAGGAGAGTTTCCCTGTTCTTTCTCTTTAAGAAAAAAAAAAAAGAGAAATCATTAAACCACACCCTACCCCACCCTTACCCTCTAAGTTCTTGAGTCTCTAGTGCCTGAGATAGAGCCAAGATTAAAAGAATTGAAAAGAAAGTGAGCTTTTTTTTTTTTCCCCTGAAACTTTTGTTCCCAGCTTATAAACACTCCCACCCCTGGTTGCAGAGCCCTGGGATCTGACCCAGTGTCATCTCAAGCCCCACTGGGGCCTTTTCCTTGGCTCTGGGCCTGACCTGTGTCACTCCCCAACTGCATCCCAGGGGTATTAACCCTTCCAGGAGATGCATGCTAGCTTCCAACAGTATCTACCGTCCTGCAGCAGTGCTTATATTCTTGGCTACATAATAAATTCTATTCTTCTGCCAGGGGGTTAAAGGATACAGACAGCCAAGGAGCAGCTGCAAGGAAGCTCTGAAGTAGGTATCTCGTGGGTGGGGCCGCTGCAGGCAGGACAGACCTGGAGAGAGATTAGGTGAAACATTAGCCAGGGCCTTTTGGACTCAGTCCAGTATCTTTCAATGATTTCTTTATGTGACTTGGGTGCTGGGTTTATTTGGCCTGGGACAGGCACCCATTAGAAGATTTCACAATGATTTTGCCATGTTACAGTTTTAAACATGTGAACTCCGTCACCAAAGGAAATTTGTGTTTTTGCCATCTCCCCCCAGCTCTCCACCTCTCCCTGGGGAGCTACAGGGAAAAGTACTCCAAGCGAATTCATCAAAATGACTAGGAAACCTCTCAAAATAATAAATGTTGTTACAGTCTGGATCTCTTTCAAGTTTGAGCTCATTTTGTGAGCTTGAAGATCCATACATCACATTGGATGCATATTATTTTTTTATAAAAGGACTATTGCACAGGGACAGGTAAGTTATTAAGACACATAAATGCAATGACCCTCAGAACACCAGACTGTATTTTAACTAAGTTAATTAAGCAGTTTGGCCAAGAAGAGGGCAAAGGATAGGTGCTGTAATAATTCCTTAAATTGCCTCCATAATCCAGCCTTACAAATTAGAATAGGCTAAAAGCTCCAAGCTCCTAAAACAAGGCCCTGTGAAATTGATGTGCACAGTTAACATCATAACAAAAAGAGAAAACACATGTTATATCTCCTTGGGCTTCTCTCACCTAATAGAAGATGTACTATTGTTAGATAAAGGTAAAAGCTTTGGAAAACATGAAAACCAATTCAAAACAGGTTAGTAAATAATAACAACAAACCCAAAAGAACAAGCAATGATTATTATTATTGTATTTTCAAAATACCTTCTAGGAGATCAACTTCAAAAGAATGTTTTTATATGAAAAGATACTTGTAGCTGGGTCCTGGGTTCTCAAGGCCTTCCTGCATGCTGCAGTAAGATTAGATAAACCCCAAGGTGAGACTGAGAAGGAAAATCTGCGTTGGAGAAAGGAAACTGGTAATGATGAGGTGGATTCTCATTTTATTTGATGCAGTTTTCTGATATTTCCAAATATCCATGAGCAAGGCATTTAAAGATCTGGATCCAAACCACCCACAGCCCTCGATAATAATTTATCCACGTCATACGGGCCACTAGGTCAGTTGATTGTGAAAGAAAATAGGAGCAAGGCTCCCCTAGCCTTATTGTGTATGTCCTTTGTCTCCAAATCTGAGCCCTGCTGCTAAGCAGGACTAAACCACAAGGATATTTTCTACCTAAGTAATCTCTTCTGTCCTGAGAGACTGCTCCTTAGATAATTCTTGCAACTTATTCTCAAAATAAATAAATTAATTAAATAAAAATAGGCTGATTGCAGTGTTGCCGATCCCAGCCTTTGTTAGCTGCCTCTATTAATCATGGCTGACAGGAGAGACTAGGGGTCATGGGTAATTGAATTCCAGCCAACCTTCAGACCTAATTCAAGTCAACCCTTTGACCTCTTCTTTGACCAAATCTGCTGCCAGAGCTAGTCAATAAATATTGTTTTTAAATTTCAAGAAACCTGTTTTTGAGTGCCTACTACGTGTTAGCTTTGTGAGGGATGTATCCATTACCTCTCGTCATTCATTCATTCATTCTGTCCACACTTCCAGCGGCCCAGACACAGTGAATTAAGAGATAGAGGAGAGGAGACTAAAAAAGGTCATCTTGGGGTCAGTCCAGTGGGGCACCGTGTGTTCTCCAGACACTCTGACTTCCCATCAGCGCGGGGAGATAGATCTTTAGCATTGACAGGAAGCCTGCAGCCCTTTCTGCACACGGATATGGATGATAAGTGTTTTCCCTACTCTCCAGGAGAAGCTGGGCAGGACCTTGGGGTTCCAAGTCCTCCTTCTGCCGTAGTTGATGTGGGATGTCAGGTTATGTTATTTCACCTTTGTGGGCCCCGGGTTCTTATTTGTGATAGAGAACAGAGTGTGCACTTGGTGGGGGGAGAGAGGAGAGGTGGTAACTAACCCAGCAAGATTCTTAAGATAACCTGGGGGTTGAGATAATGCGTCTGGGGAGCTCCTAGTAAACTGTAAGTCTCTTTGCAGTGGGCGATTCCTGCTAATGATTGTCACAAAGTCTCCTTGTGAAAAGTCCAATGAGCAGTTAGAACTGTGAAAGTCAGGCTAGGAACAAAGACCTAGCAGACAGCACTCACTCTGCTTTCAAAGAATGGATGTTTGGGTGGAATGTCTCATGAACTCTCTTCCTTTAGTTTGCTTGGTAAGTCTCTGGATCACCTCCATTTCGGCTGAGCACACGTGATCTAGATTTTATTGCCAGAATGCTTTTGTGGTATTTCAGTTTCCAGAAAATGAGGCACTAACTTACTTCCTCCTCTGAGCTGAGGCCACACCATATTCCACCAGCCTTTCCTCATCAGACAGTTTGAGATCACCTCACCAGTTGACTATCAGTGTTCGGCCATCACCAACCCTGGCTTCCATAATGAAGCTCAGGTTGAATGGCTACAAATAATTATCTTGGCAGCAATACTTTTTTTTAGGAACTATGAGTCCGTGTTGTGCAGAAGTTTGGGGGAAAACAAAAAAAGGTGCGGGGGGGGGGGGCTCAAATAATAGACTTTCTTGTTTTAATTTCAAAATGCTATGAAGCCCCTATGATGTAGCAAGCAGCCCAGGGCCACTGAGCAGCCTGGGGAGGCTGTGTTGAAGGGGCAATGTTAATGGAATTATCCCTGCTGCCGGATAAGTGTCTGCTGTAGAGATAATTACCCAGGCAAAGATGAGGTATCGTGGAAGATAAACACGGGAGCAGGGACCTCACTGTTTATTTTCCATGTTGCAGAGTCATCTCCTCCACTCTTTAACTTCATTAGCATCCCTGCTAACCCCGGGGCCACCCAGTTTCACTTAAAAGAAAGAAATTAAATAACCTGAACCTACATGTGATTGCAAACAAGGTTGCCGGGGATGTGGGTTGGGATGTTTTGGCTGATATAGTCAGTGGCAAACAAGTGTTCCCTTTGCCCCATCCATACCTCTCCCCTGTGTAATGAAAAATGGATGTGTCTCCACTTGGGCTTTTCACGTACTTTGTCCTGTTTAATCTCCACACACGACAATTCCGTGACTTTGGAGTAAGTACTAGTGGGGGAAACTGTGTGTCAGAGAGGTGAAGTAACTTGTCTAAGGTCATCAGACTCCTGAGCAATGGAGGGAGGATTTCAGCCCTTGCAGATCAGCCCCAGCTGTTTCCAGAAAATCCTGGGCCCCTGCACGTTCCAGCCCCTCACGGCTGGTCTTCTAGACTCTACAGATGAGTCCAGACAATTTTATTACCTCTGCAGCTGCTTCTGCTATCTTTATTAGAGTGGCTGCCAAATCTCCCATCCGGTCCTTGGTCCAGTTCTGTGTATCTGTTTTTTTTTCTCTTTTTTTTTTTTTTGAGAAAGTATTTGCATTCAACCCCAAGTGGTCAAGACCAAGCTTTTAAAACTCACACCCACAGGCTTTGCATTGGACACGTTCCCTGCCTTCTTTGGCCAATCTGTAAGCAATCAGTCTCCTCTAGGCTCCTTCTCCCCAAACTTATTATCATAAAAATTACACACAGTGAAAGGAAAGCAAGGAGAAATGAAAGACGGAGACCAGGCAGAGATACACACAAGAGTTTATTTGTCAGAGCTGACAAATAAAGGCACATCTCTTCATAGATGGAGAGGGGCAAAACAGGCTTGGGGTTTGGGACTTTGATGGGGCAGGCTCAGGGATTAGACAGGAGTGGGTCCAAATGCTGCGGTTCAGGGTCGGGTGGGTGTGAGGGAGTGGTGAGCCTTTCTCAGAAAAACCCTGGGGCAGGAAAGTGAACTTTTTCTTAAAAATGGCAGCCATCATTTAAGATGGTCGTCCAGATGCTACTCAAGAACCTTACACACAGAAAACCTGAAAGACTATTTCAGAGCACATCTGTTTGGCTTCCACCAAATTCAATTATTATTAAAATTTTGCCATAATTGATATACAAAAATCAATCAATTTCTGTTTTTATTTCTGAAACATTTGGGAGTTTATTTCAGAAAACATGGCACTTCGGGCCTAAATGCTTTGGTGTGCATTTCCTAAGAACATGAAACATTTCCTACAGGAAGGCATTACAAATACAGTGTCAGACTGGAGAAAATTAACAAGAATTCCTTAGTATCATCTCCTATCCATTCCTTAATCATAGCTGTTTCTTAACTGTTCTCCAACTTTCTTTTATAATTGTTTTTTGAAAAAACCCAGTTTTAGGCAATGTGCTGGTAATAATGTCTCTTTAAATCTTTTTAAACTAAAATACCTTCCCCCATATTTATTTTTTTCCCTGCCGCATTTAGTTTTCAAAGACTCCAGGTTTGGGATGGTTGAATTGTTTTCTATTTCTAAGGGTCTTCTCTGGTCCCTATCTTCAACTCTCAATCATCCCTTATTGAGATGGAAACTCCAGAATTTCTACAGGGAGGATCCTGAGAGAGAGTGCAATCTGGTGATAAGGTGGGTGGTTGGGAAGTCTTTTGCATGATAACAACACTTAAAGAACAAATTGATACTGGTGATTTATTTGTCATGGCTGCTGTCCTGAGGCCGGGGCTGGCTGAAATGTAGGATAGTGGTAACACAGGATGGTAAAGATTCTAGACAAACTGCCTGGGTTTGAACCTTAGTTTTGCTTATTCTGAGATGTGTGTGACCTTGGAGAGATTACTTAATCTTTCTGTTACTCAAAAAATTTTATGATTTATAAAATGGTGTTGCAAGCATGACAGAATCTAATTCGCAGAGTTGTGCTGAAATGAATTAATAAACACAAGGCAGTAAGAATCCTGCCAAGGACCAGAGTAGTATCTACATGCGGCAGCCATTATCATTAGCAGTATTCTCCTCTCACATTCTACTGGCTTCCTTCTCTACTCACTTCCATCTAACATTTCTGGCTGCCTGACAGTTTTGCCCATTGCCTTTGACATGATGTTTCATTTATTCTGTTT